GACCTAGAATAGCTAAAACAATTTTGAAAAAGGAGAATAAAATGGGAGAAATAATTCTACTTATGTTAAGTTACAGTAATCAAGCTACAGTAATCAAGATTGTGATATTGGCAGAAGGATAAACACAGAGGTCATTGCAACTGATATCAGACAGGAACATTTGATTTGGTGATGGTATAAACAAAATTGAGTTGATCACGAATATATGGGCAAGGCTTTAATTGGTGCTGTAGCAAAAGGGGCTTACTGGGACTTCAGCTAAAGGGAGATAGCACTGATTGAGGTATCAGGATGCTCCCTGGGTGGGAAAGTCTGGTAATTCTCCATTGACCAGGGGCATAGTTAAGAAAAAAAAATGTTTCTTATTGCACAAGACTTAGACAATGAGCAGTAGTGGTTGATTTGTTCTGGGACTCTTGTAGCTGGTGCCATTATCCTATTCAAACATCCTGGCTTTGTGGCTCCATCTGGGCCTTACAACAGGGCTGATAGGCTTTGTGTGCTTGGACTTTTATAGCACTGAAAAAGCACAAGGGTAGGTTGGAAGAAAACACACAGCACCTCCAATGGGTAGTCAATAGTTTAGGTGTAGAACTGAGAAGAATTTGACCCAAAAGTTAAGGCAGTAAAGAGAACAAACATAATTGAAGACAGATCCCATTCCAGTCATCCATTAGACATACGCAGGCCCAAGTGAATATTTAGTGTTTCTCAGCAAAAGTGGCCTTCAAGTTCCTGAAAAGTAATCTAGGCAACTGTTGTCATCATAACACACACGAGAGGTGTTCTTTTTTTCTGATTTTTAGAAATATATATTTTTATTTTTAGTCAACACATATACATATTTATGGGGTAAGGTGTGACATTTCAATACCTGTATACAATGTGTAATGGTCAGATCTGGGTAACTGGGGTATCTATCACCTCACACACTTTATCATTTCTTTGTGTTCAAAAGAACTCAAAAATGTGTTCTTCAAAAGAACCCAAAGGATTAAAAATCCTACTAGTTTATTTGAAACATCCAATTATTGCAAACTCTAGTTATGTTACTGTATTATAAAATATTAGAAGTGATTCCTCCTATCCACTGTACCAGTTCTTGCTCCATGTCCTCCTCCCTCACACTCTTCACAGGCATCAGAAGTGTTGTACACAGCAAAGCTAATGAGAGACTAATAACATAATAACGTAATGCCCCAAATTAGTGATTTTTAAGTTGACTAAAAATAAGTGAAGCTAGGGGGTTTATTTAGGTTTGTCCCTGGGAAAAATTTTATCTTATGCAGATGTTCCGCTTCTGTGATTTTAATAGTTCTCATGATTTTTTTTTTTAAGAGCACAAGGGTAGAGAAGCAATGTACCATGCTACAAAGGGTACATTTATTCTGCCTAGGGGTTTATTTTATTGTCCCAGTCTTTGCCCCACCATCATAGTCTCTGTCTCAGAACTGAATAAAGAACCCCCCCAAAATAGACATGTACAAATGTACCTGATTTTTGACAAAGGTACAAAAGCAATATGTCAGCAGATAAATAGTTAAACAAAGTGGAATAATACTCAGCAGTGAAAATTACTGATCAACTAAATTGGGTGGATCTCAAGGGCATTATATTGAGTGGGGAAAGAAAAGCCAATCTCACAGGTTACATACATACAGCCACAAAAATGAAAAGTTATACTCCATGTATGTATGATATGTTATACTCCATGTAAGTATCAAAATACATTCTACAGGGCTGAGGTTAAGATTCAGTGGTAGCACGTGTGAGGCATTGGGTTAGATCCTCAGCACCACATAAAAATAAATAAATAAAATAAAGGTATTGTTTCCATCTACAACTAAAAAAAATTTAAAAAATACATTCTATTGTCATGTATAACTACAAAAAGCCAGTAAAATTTTTATTTTATTGGTTACATACTATATGATTACAATTACCTATGTTCTTGAAATAAAGTTATAGAAATGGGAAAGAAATTAGTGTTGCTAAGGGTTAGGAATAGGCGTGGGTGGCTATAAACAGGTAGCACAAGGGAGCCTTATGGTAATGTAATAGTTTTGTATCCTGATTGTGGTAGTGGCTATAAGAATCTATATATGATAAAATTGCATGCACACACACACACACACACCAAAGGGGGGGGGAACCCTCCACAATTGAGTATATACAAAACTGGTGAATTTTGAATGAACTGTGTGGATTGCAGCAATGTCAATTTCCTGGTTTTAATAATAAAAAGTATTTATACAAGGTGTTACCATTGGGGGAACTGAGTTAGGGGCAGAGAGGAAATTCCTTGATTTCTTTTTTTTTTTTTTTCTGGATATCTCATGTTAATTATTTGAAAATAATAAAATAAATAAAATAAAATAATAAAAATAAGTGAAGCTATAGGGTTTATTTATTTTAAAATAATAAAAAGTGCTTTTATTTTTTTTAATATAGTGTTAATTTTTTTTTTTTTTTCTGGGAGAGTTGGAAAGGATACTTAGAGGTTGTGATGTGTTTTTTTTGGTAACAGGGATTGAATCCAGGGGCCCTTTACCATTGAGCAACATCCCTAGTCCTTTTTATTTTTCCGGGGGTGGGGGCAGTACCGGGGATTGAACTCTAGGGCACTCAACCACTGAGCCACATCCCCAGCCCTATTTTGTATTTGATTTTAGAATAGGGGTGTCACAGAGTTGCTTAGCACCTTGCTTTTGCTGGGGCTGGCTTTGAACTCGCCATCCTCTTATCTCAGTGTCCTACTGGGATTACAGGCATTTGTCACTGCCACTGGCCAAGTTTTTATTTTGAGTCTAGGGCTCACTAGATTGCTTAGGGTCTCGCTAAATTGCTGAGGCTGGCCTTGAATTTGTGATCCTCCTGGTTTCAGCCTCCCCAGTTGCAGGAATTTTTTGAGGTTGTTGTTTTGATGTGGTTTCACAAAGAGGATGGGATAGGGCTGGGAATGTGGCTCAGGCGGTAGCGCGCTCGTCTAGCATGCGTGCGGCCCGGGTTTGATCCTCAGCACCACATACCAACAAAGATGTGTCCGCCGAGAACTAAAAAATAAATATTAAAAATTCTCTCTCCTCTCTCACTCTCTCTTTAAAAAAAAAAAAAAAGAGGATGGGATAAACACCTAAGATTGATACACTGTGTTTTAAAAAATTTTTTAGTTGTAGATGAACACAATAACTTTATTTATTTATTTTTATGTGGTGCTGAGGATTGAACCGGATGCCTCCCACGTGCTAGGCAAATACTCTACATTGTGTGTGTGGGTTGTTTTTTTTTTTTTTTTTTTGTGGTGGGGCCTGGGATTGAACCCAGGGCAAGCACTCTACCAACTGAGCTATATCCCCAGCCCCAATATGTTGTGTTTTTAAGAGTAATTGTTTTAGGTTTTTAAGCAGAATGGTGATATTTGGTTAGATCACCTTGATGGCTTTATAGAATGGCTATGAGGCAGAGCAAGATTGGAAGCAGAATATTCTATTTCATTAATTCCAGGAGGTACTCTGTTTTTATTTTCTCTTTCTTTTGGCATTTTAACAGGTCTTAAATTGGAACGTTTCACTATAGCTATTACTCAGATAGCAGTTGTACTGCATTTATCATAGATGCTCATAAGCATCAAAACTTGCAAAAAGGGTGTCTGAGGCTTGGAAGACAGAAGAGGAACAGGAAATGTTGTGTTATCTGTCTTTCATGGCATGCACACAGGACTATGTCGTGTAGAAACATCTAAAACTGAGTCAAAAACATGATTTATTAAGAACTTYTGTGGCCTGGCGCAGTGGTGCACGCCTGTAATCCCAGCGGCTTAGGAGGCTGAGGCAGGAGGATCGCTAGTTCAAAACCAGCCACAGAAATGGTGAGGCACTAAGCAAATCAGTGAGACCCTGTCACTAAACAAAATACAAAATAGGGCTGGGGATGTGGCTTGGTGGTCGAATGACCCTGAGTTCAATACCCAGTAAAAAAAAAAAAAAAAAAAAGAAAAGTTTATGTGAAGTAGATAACTTTATCTTATTAGTTTCTATTTTTCTTTTTATGTAAGCATTAATGAAATATGATAAAATCTATATGCATATGAACCTACACTTTCAATAAATGTAAAAAATTCTAAGTGTAAGAAACACAGTCATAATGGTGAGTTTTATAATTGATGGCCAGGAAAGGGATAATAGAGAATTCTTTAAGCATTAAGGGAAAAAAATGACTGACTTGGTGAATTTCCTTTGGAGGAGGGGTTAATATGAAAAGGGAGGGAATCTAGGAAGGCTTCAGGTTTCCGGTCTGCACAATTAAATCGACGTGGTAACCTACCTGGAGGAAGCAGAGAAGCAAAGTTGGAAGGGGGGGGGCGGTTCAATTTGGATAGGCTATATTGAAAGAAGCAGAACGAAGCTTTTCATATTAGATTTGGTCTGACTGAATCTCGGAATTTGGCTCCGGGAGCCGATGGCTCTGTCTGTTGCGTTCTGCCACTTCAGGGCTGTTGGTCAGAAGCCGGCGGCTGGGGTGGAACGCGGAGCTGGTCTGGACTCCAGGATGTGCACACACAGCTGAACCTGCCCCGGCTTTAGGGACTCCAGCCTCTGGGCTCCGAGGATGGGCGGGCCCGCGACTGTCAGCGCGAGCGGCCTGATTGGCTGGAGCGGCCCAGACCCAGGTCAGCGATTGGTTGGGAGGCACCAAAAAGGCCTATCGCAAACTGTTAAGGCCGCCCTCCAGAGGGCTGGACACCCCGCCCTATTACTGAGCCCGACAGGTAAGCAAACTACTGTTGTATTGGTCAGTGAAAATCCTGACCGCAACCGCTCCTTTTCGAAGTCGGTACCAGGGGAGAGTTTTGATTGGCAAATCTGAAGGGACAGGGCGGGCTAGAACGGCGGTACTTGGAGACGACTCTAGGCGTGGATTGGACGGGAGGTTGTTAACGGTATCCGGGAGGCGTGGCCAGCACTAATAAAGCTGGGGTCCGGCGCGGCAGCTGCAGTAAGTTGCACCGCAGCTAGAGCGCCTGGTGGTCAGTGGGAGGCGGAGCTCCACAGTTCCGTCCGATTCAGCCGCAGCGTTTCTCCGCCGGGTGTCTCGCCGCAGCCTCCAGAGAGGAGTTGGACGCTCACTCCTGTCAGAAAAATGTGAGTTGACTCTGTTGTAGGAGGCTCCAGACCTCCTTGCCAACTCTCACCCCCAGCGCCCTACTCTGCGGGACTGAAAATGGCGCATTGCAGCAGCTGCAGCGACGCGGGAACCTCCACCGCGCACCGCCCCCAGACCGCCCCCACCCCCGGAGGGGGACAGCCCCCCATTCCTGCATAAGCCACAGCTAGTCCCCACGGGCGGGGCAGGGGTCCCACATTCATTGCACCCTCTCTTCTCTTTTGAGTGGCACTTTATTCTAGTCTCCATATAGTGAAATCTCAGAGAGGGCGAAGGCGGGAATGGAGAAAGGTAGGGAATTTGAAAAACTTATCATGTCCTCTGAATCTGTACTTAGAGCGTTTGGAAACACAGTCATGGGTGTACCTGCCGGTGAGTAATTCGGATTGCCTGAGGTCTTTGGATTTGTGTGTGCCCCTCACCCAAAGTGTGATGTACCGCGTCCTCAAGGCCATAATCAAAGCTCCAGAAACTTATCTGCCAGTCCCCTTTCTGAACTGCATGCACACCTGGCCCCAGGTGTGCATGCAGTTCAGAAAGACCCAAGGGGCATGTGATCCCATGTAGCCATTCATCCTAAGGCCACCCTTATAGGAGACGCTTTTCTGTCACCAAGTCCTAGCCAAGTATTTGGAGGAGAAATAGGGAGAACTGAACAATCTTCTCTTTCTCTGACATGCAGAGTTTAGTCTCCAACCATCTTCAACATCATCCCCTTCCAAAGATCTTGAAGGAGAGCTATGGCTAGACCAATTAAGTTCTTCCCTCTGATACTTCCTGGAGTCCTGTCCTAATCCCAGGTGTATTTGTATTCCTTCTCATAGGGACTTAAAAAAGGGAAAGATTTACTTATATTACATAAGAGTTATAACTCTTTCTGGATGTGGTATTGCTGAGTGTTCTACTTAATTCCCAACAAGTAGTAAGTGAAGTCAGTCCTCCAAAGGCTCTATAGCCGTTTCAGTTTTTCCTCTTTGATTTCTTCAGTTTTAACTATAGACAATATTCTGTGCATTTTGGACAAGCCCTAAGACATCAATTATTTTCATTTTGGGGAGGGGCATCCTTCTCAGCTGACTGGTTTTAGATATTATCCGTGTGGGATGAAAGGAAGGAATCGAGAAAGCTTGGTGGCTACCAGGGAATCACAAGGTCTTTGACCTTAATCTTGTCATTGGTGCCACCATCCTGGACTACTTCCAACACCGGCTGCTACTTACTCATTGAAATTTCTGCCTTCAGTCTAGAATCAGATTGCTTAAATATCTCAGTACCAGCATAAGAGTCTTAAGGCTCCCAGGGCTTTGTATCTTTCTTTCCTTTGCCCTCTTTGTGACTTGGAGGGAAATACAAAAATGATCCCTTAAATGAGGAATAATATGCTAGTATAGCCTCTCTAACTGTCTGTCTTTATTTTTAGACTGAAAGAAATTCAGTTAAGAAAGAAGAGCTTCTAGGTATTAGTTCTATTGTGATTAATCAAGGAATTTCCTTTTTGTTGACTTTGTGATGCATTTATTCTTGGACTCCTCTGGTGAGGTATGTTTTTTGAGGTTCTCCCTCTCTATGAGCTATGGAAATTTGTATTCTTCTTCAAATTTTAGAGATCTTTGCCCACCTGTGGTTTTTACCTTGGCAGAGAAAATCTCAATCTTTAGGTTAGACTACTTGGAATTCCTTAGCAGGTGAATTTAGTCTCCATGTGTTGGGACTGGGAAAGAAGTTTATCTTGAAGACCTCACTGGATTATTCCCTCCAAAGGCTAAGGTATGTCTTAGCCTCAATTGGTAATGAAAGAGAAACAGTTTCCATGGGTAAGGTAGTATAAACCAAGATTTCTTTTTGGGACACAGGAGACTAGGCCAGTCTCCTGAGACTCTGCCAAATCTACAAAAGGAAGGTACAGAATGTCTGTGGTGCATGTACATCGAGAACTATTTCTAGCATTATTTTTGTTTCCTGTCTATGCTCTTGGAACAGTTTCCACAACTAATGCAATTGCTTTGTGTCCCAGATTCAATCTAAATGAAACCCCTATCTTCTCTGCCAAAAACAATGCAAACAAACAATCCTGACTCATTCTACCTACACAGACTTTGCCTTTGGCGATACTCCAAGTTGTCCTTGTAGCAGCACAGATATACTAATCACCATGTGAAACATAATCAATAACTGGATCACTATAAGCAGAGTTAGCTTGCCTTTTCTTTTATGTTCAAACTTTGCATGTCCTGAGGGATTTGTGTTTTCTACAAATGTCTCCTATCTGTATTGAGTTTTTCCATTTGTCTTCATGTGAAGGCATTTGACAGCCTGGGAAACGACAGTTAGGCTAAGGCTGGCACATTTGTCCCTGAAGCCATTGTATCAGAAGATGGGCTTGAATTTGAGTCAGAGGATAGCCCAAAACAAGATCTCTTAATGGTATTCTTCATGTTGTTACATCTAAATATTGTTACTGGCTCTTTCATCTTTTGTTCCTTGCCTGTATGCTGCATCTCCCTACTTGATATTGCCAAGAAGCTAGAATCCCTTCCATTTGCTATAACCTAATCATAGTTGCTGGGGTGGAATTGGGTGAGAATGCATATGATTCCTTTCTTGTCTTGGTTATTTTGTGTACTCTCTCCACTTCTCTCCACAGGTCTGCTCCAGCTCAGCCACCCACTGAAGGGACAGAAGGGACTGCCCCTGGTGGGGGTCCCCCTGGCCCTCCTCCTAACACGACCAGTAATAGACGACTACAGCAAACCCAGGCACAGGTGGAGGAGGTGGGTGGATTCCCATCTCTCCGAGAGTTTCCAAATCATAGAAGTTTAGAAACAAGGGAACCTCTTGTCCACCATAGAAGTTTAGAAACAGAAGGGAACCTCTTGTCCATTCTTGGTTTTTTTTTTTTTTTTTTTTACAGGGGGTTAGTTAAAGACTCAGAGAGGCAAAGCATCTCTTAGATGGGTCCAGACTTGCGATTCCCAACTTGTTGTTTTTTCTCCTATCTCTATTGGGAAGTTTAGCAGCCTTGTTTTTGCACTCCTCTTAGGTGGTGGACATCATGCGTGTGAATGTGGACAAGGTCCTGGAGAGGGACCAGAAACTATCAGAACTGGATGACCGAGCTGATGCCTTACAGGCGGGAGCATCGCAATTTGAGAGTAGCGCTGCCAAGCTAAAGAGGAAGTATTGGTGGAAAAACTGCAAGGTGAATTTCCTTGTCCTCTCTCCCTTCTTTTCTTGTACTTCCACTTGTAGAAAACAAGAAAACTCTCAGCTTCTACATTCCCTCTTACTACTGGTGCCAGGTCTCTGCCTTGCAGGGTTCTTAGGAGGAAAATCTGAATACCTTCTCCTTGAGATGAGTTACATGTATTGACCACCAGGGTAGGCTAAAGTATTCAGAACCACTTACTGAGAAAGTGAAAGTGCTACCCTGGGGCGTTTAGAATATTTAAGTACCTTTTTCCCATAGGAGTCTCAGGCAAAAAATTTTAACTGGAAGTTTCTCTGACACAACCAACAGCAACACAATGATTCAGGTGTAAATACTCCTGAAAATTTTTGGAAATGCACTACACATTTCACAATGAAAACCAAACTAACTGAATATAAAGATCTAAAGCCTGCTTCTTCATTGAAATTCCCTTTAAAGCCCCCAGGCAACAGGAACTAAGCCAGAAAGGAGTGAATTGCAGATCTTGTGGTGTTTCTGAAAAACTACAGACATGGTCATGGGATTATGATCCTATGGGAAGCAAAGGGTTAGGCCTGAAAGGCATGCTCATGTCTGGGTGATGAGTGGTTTCTTCCACTGCCCAAAGAATAGAGGAAATTCTGTTCCCAAATCTCTGGTCCAGCTTTTTTCCTTCTTCCCCAAGTCCAAAGGCTCATGTTTTGTCCATGTTTCTTCAGATGATGATCATGCTGGGAGCTATCTGTGCCATCATCGTGGTAGTTATTGTAAGTAAGTATCGCTGAGGTTGCTGATGGGGTGAAGAGGTGGGAAGGTCCCGGAATCTTCTCCCAGCCCTGCCTGCCTGCCTGCCTGCCTGGGGAGTGGGGCTGCTCTGACTGAGGTATGGAGACTGCTGCTGGGGATCATACCTGATTTGGGAGGGAGGAAGGGTAAAGACAAGGAATTTCCTTGATAGACAAGCCTTCTCCTTGTAAGGCATTGTGGGGAGATGGCCCCTTCTGTTCTGAGGAAGTGGAGCTATGCTGTTTGTCACTGGCTTGGGGCTGGGGCACCTGCAACTGAGAGACTTGGACATCTAGTAACTTGATGTAATTTGCCCTCTTGTTTTCTCCTGTCTCTTTTTCTTCTCCATCTGGGACTTCCTGATTCCTGTGTCCAGTCTACTTTTTTACTTGAGAATGTGCCACCCCTTCCCTGTTCTCCATTGCCATTCAAGCTCATGTCCTTCTCCCTCTGTTTGCTCTCTCAACAAACTTCCCCATCTGCCTTTCTCCATCCCAGCCCAGGCTTCTCCATCATCCATTCTTCCTTTTTTKTTGCATTCATTTGCATTCTGTCCCTCAATACTAGAAATGCTGCTCGTGGTACAGTCTTGAAGTTACTACCTAAAGATCAATAGCTGATGCCTCYTTCCTTTCCCCTTCTCATGTACTCTTATGTTCCCCCATACCCTAAAGGAGTTGGCTGCCAAGGGGAGGAAGAATAACTGAGGTCAAGTGCCCAAGAAGCTGGTAAGGTTGTCGGGGAGAAGAAGGGTATTGGTGTCCATGTGTGTCTCCTAGAAAGGCCAGGTCTCTGGCAGGAGGGGACCATGAATAGTTGGGAAGTGGTGGCTTGCTCAGTGCTGCACTTGCTAGTTTTTCCTCCTGTGCCAGGCCTTTAGAGAGCCCTGGGGTTCTGTCCAAAGGCCAATCTGGTCCCAGTGCAGTACCCTTTTAGAAAATCAAATCTGTTTTTTGCAGTTATTGCTAATCTTTCAGCCCAAGATTTTCTGTCTTTCAGGAATCTTGTAGTCTTTTACTTTGTTCTCTATTAGCCTGGAAAACAAGCACTTGTTGATTACAAAACTACCAGGAGACTCTCATTTCTATCCTACAAGCAGACCTATTTGCTTCTAACTGGAAGGAGCTGTCTCTCTTTGATGTTTTCTGCAGCATTCTATATTGTTCATGAGGGCATCAAATAATTGCAACTAGCCAGAGTTTGGTGCTTGTGATTTATTTTAATTACTGGAATAAAGAGAGAATACCTGTTATAGAGAAACAGTAAGTCAAGGGCCTAATTTGAGAATAACAGGCTTTCAGGAAGCCACTTCTTGCCCTCTCTTTAAAGAAGGTCCCGTTTCTCCCTTCCTGTTGATAAAGAAATGTGAGGCTGCTAGAGGTAAGGTCCTAGACTCCCATAGAATTCTTTTCTCCACACCATCCCTGTGAGCCCTGGTTGATTATAAAGATTTAGAGAAGTCCAGTAGATCCACTAACTCAGTCTTGGAGTGGGAGGGTTGAGAGTCTGTGACAGGTGTATTTTTATATTGTTATACTATCATGGGCCCCTTGCGTCTGGAGCCACCTCTCTGTTCTTTCTGCAGTATGCTCCCCTTCTGAACTGCCCTCACCCATCTGAATCCCACATTGCTTCCTGTCTTTCTCTTCTTTGCTTGCTTTGTGTGCATAGACATTGGAACCTGAGGATGGGAGCTGCTTAGCCTATCTTGGGGACTACTGCTGAACTTCAGGATAGCATATTACATGGGATAAAACTGAGGTGCTAGGGGAGGAGGGAAGGCTGGGAACAGGAAGGGGAAGACCCATAGCAGTGTTTCCCTCTGTCCTCTGGTCCACAATCAGAAAGAGTCTGAGGCCATGCTGGGCTGGGTGTGAATGCCCGCTTTCCATGCAGCAGCATTTCATTGTGCAAAACCATACTTCCTTTCTTTTTGCCCCCTTTCCCATATTTCCTTCGTCCTGCCTAGGGCAGGACTGAAGAGCTGGAAGAAAGCAGTCAGTGTACCCTCCCAGCGTCCCCCTCGAAGGTCTCCACTCTCCTCTGGGCTCCTCCTTGCCTAATGCAGGGGGTCACCGCTGGAGAAGAACCACCACTATCCAAGATGTGTCCCCAAGCCTGGAGCAAATTCACCCTCTTGGCCCACCCAACCCTATCATGGGAATTATTTTCTGGGTTTCTGTCCCTCTTGAGGCTCACCAAGTATAGTTGGCTTTGCTCTTTTGGGGGTAATATCCCTTCTTTCTTTCTCATCCCACCCTGACTCCTCTTCTGTGTCTTTGCTCTCCCACTTCCCTCCCACCACCCATGTGCATGAGCAAATATGCAACTAAACCCCGGGACTCTGCAGTCAAATGAAGCCGAGTTTCCCACATCCCTTTCTTCAGTTTGCCATGAGATGATGTGGGGTTTCCACTGTGTGTCTGTCATTACCTCTTTGTCTTTTTTCCAAACCCCAATCTCATACTTGTATAGAGTAATAACAGTTGTACTTCACCAAAGGCATGTGGCATATTTACCAATTTCATGTATTCTGAACAAAGGCAAAAAATACAACTAATTCCTACCACTAAACTGGCTTGGTTGTTGTTTGGGTTGGAATAACTGGTGGGGTGGGGGTGTCATTTCTTTCTACCAGTCTGATGTTGCTAAAGGACAAAGGGCAGCATATGTGTTTGAATGGTTTTCATGGAGATTAAAGGTTTGTGTGTTGGCAGAGGAAGTGGTCTGTGCTCTCAGCATTTAATACCTAAAACAGCTTGACTCTTGCAGGTGCTGGTGAGAGGAAGTGACAACAGGAAGTTGAGTAGGCACATCACGCTGGCAAACAACTACGGGTTTTGGGCCTCCCCATCTGCCTCCTTTCTAGTCCCTGGCCTGCCTTTCCTATCCCTGGGGACATGTTCACATGTGACCTCCACCATATACCTTCTCCTCCCATTATCCTCATGCAGTTTTCTTTTGCTGAGTTCCCTTGTACTGACCAGACACATTGTAGCAATGAACAACAGGAAAAATCACTTCCCCACAGCTGATGGAGTGAGAGTTTGTAGGTATTCTGAAATTCCTGGCAATTGTCTGAAAGATCAAAACCTTAGTTGCAGTTCAGGGTTACTAACACAAAGCAGCAGAGATGAAGCCTTTGTTTCACACCTTTAAATATTTTGCAAGTTGGAGTAGTTTTGGGGACAGAGCTTAATTGGGACCAACTCCGAGAAAGACAGGAAAATGGAAAAGCTTTGTCTCAGTGGTCACAAAGGGCTTTTATTTTTGACAATTTGAAATTGTGTGTGGCAGCCCAACCCCCACCCCCTTATTCCATTGTCCCTTACTTGCTCCTTTCTCTATTCCTATTTTTCTTTCCTACCACCTCAACTCAAATATGGCCCTTTGGTGTTAACCTCCACACAAACATTCTTCCTCCCTTCTTTCTGTTGTTTCTCTTGACACATCAGCCCGGGGCACACAGTGAAGGAAGGCAGAGCCCTGTGTAGAGCCAGGGCCATTACCTGTCCTGTCTGTCCTCCTACCTCCAGACCTGGATCCCCCTTCAGGCTTTTCTCTGCTTTGTGATTCATTGTGAGGTCCTTCTGAGACAATATGACTACTCCATCTTTATAATTGGGGCAAAAGAGTATTTACTCAGAATGCTTCAGAGTCTTGGCAGACTTTGGTGAGGAAGCTAGGAGAAAACAGAGGGAACAAGATTAGTTACCAAAAACAGGAGGCTGTCTGAGGTGGGAGAGGCAGCTGGAATTCAGAAAGTCTGGGCTCCACCCCTGGTCTAGGTGGGGAGGTGCTCAGAGTGGGTTGATTACAAGCAGGTTGGGTCAGGGACCAGAGCTGAGGGGGACCAGGCACTTACCTTGCTGTCTCTGAAGCCCCAGGAACAGTAGTGCAAGAAGGAAAAGACTGCTGGCCAAGATGATTTCAAAGGCCATTCTCTGCTCTGTAGGTGAGAGAATATGGGCAGGAATAAATCTCTTGTGCTGAGCCCTTGCTGCCATTATCCCCGCCAGGGAAGAGAAGCACAGGCGTGTGTGTTTGTTACTCTCCAATGAAAGAGCTGGAAATTGTGCGTGCAGCAGCTTCTGTATTTGTTCAGTATTGTCTGGTGTTTACGTGTTACTCCACACAGAATTCTCTTCCTCTTTCTACCTCAGTGCAACATTTAAAAAGTTGTTATTTTGTGAGGGAGATTTAGGTTAGTGATTGACTGTTAAACTGAGATTTTGTAAATAGCTGAGAAATGGCATGAACTGGGATGAGACCCCAGTTTTTTGGGAAGCCCATAATCTAGTAAGCAATCCAATAATGTCCCATGCTCTTAATGTTTGTGTTTCAAGGTGTAGATTCTTTCCTGTCCCTTATCTGTTTAAGACTTTTCACCAACATTCTGTGACTTTCAGGATGAAATTCCAGTTTGAAGGACCATGGAGATTGCAAGGTGTAAGTCTATAAGGGGAGTCAGCCTGCCTGTTTTTCACATTTTTATTAATAGGTGACATTGGGAAAATAACATCTGCAATTGCCAGCTTACACATCTATAAAATGGGTGTTGAGCTGGGCATGGTGGCAGGAGGATCACTTAAGCCCAGGAGTTCCAGGCCAGCCTGGGCAACATAGTGAGATCCCATTTCAATAAATAAATAAGTCAATAAAACAACAGTTATAATACATGAGGTCATACTTAAAATTTAAGTGCTTCACACAGTGTTTGATTCATGTAAATGCTCAATAAATAGAATTCCCTCTAGTTTCACAGCCGTTTCCCCCTTTTCCCATATACCTTTGGCTCTGGCTGTACTAAACTACTTACAGTTCCCAAAGTTTTCAGTAGGATGTTTTATAATTGTATCTTCACATGTACCATTCTCTCTGTCTTGTGTGTTCTCTTCCCCTTAAGCTAGCTAACTGGGCTCAAGTGTCTTCTCCGGCTCATCTTCCCAGTCTACCTAGTCTTGTCTCTCCAGCTGTACTAAGCTTCTAGAGGGCAGGATCAGGAATCCTTCAACCTTGATCTGCAATCCAAGCACATTGCCTGGTTCCCTGGAGGCTGAGAAGGAACGAAATCCCAGGTGATGTGTGGTGGAAGCTGTAGAGGCTACTACCTTAGGAAAGACAAAGCCTGGGGCAGAGGCAGGAGTGTGAAAAAGCTGGGATGGAACAAAGCATAGGGGCAGGAAAGCCATGAGCCCAAGTGTGGTAGTGGGGAAAAGAGGATACCCTTAGTACCTGTGTGTGGGGCAACCCTGATGCTGGCCTTAAGGGGCTCCTCCAGGGAGATGTGAGTGACCTGGCAGGTATAAGTGGCGCCTTCAGGGCCAGGTTCAGCCATCAGGGACGAGGAGATGCTATAGGTGCCAGCCATGCTTTGCCTGAGGCTGGAAAAGAAGGCACCAGACACCTCAGCTGGGGCTCCACCCAGCTCCTCTCGGATCCACGTCACCACCACGTCCAGAGGATAATAGCCAGCGACATTGCAGATGAGAGTGGGTGGCAGCACTTCATTTGCCAAGCTCAGTCGAATTTTGGGGGAAGCTGAGGAAACAATGAGGAATAAGATTCCAGAGGAGTCCAACTGGGGCCAGAAGAGGAACCTGAAGCCTTTTTGTTCCTGTTGAGAATGAGAGTAGGTAGTGGAGGCTGAAGTTTCTTCCTCAGTGGTATTCCAAGGGAGGGGGGCTTGAGGAGTCCACCTGAATGTAGGCCATAAGGGGGCACATTTTCTAGAAAGCAATAGTAAAGCCAATTAAAATTTGGCTGGCTGGCTTCCTTTTTTTTTTTTTTTTTTTTTTAGTGATTGAACCCCGGGCCTCACAGTGCTAGGCAAGTGCTCTATCACTGAGCTATACCCCCAGCCCCTTTGGTTTTCTTTACATTGTTACTACAAGTCAGCAATTTTAAAGGCTATCAGTGGCAAAATACTCTTTCCTGGTCAGAACCATTCCCTCCACCCCTCCTTAGTTTGCTACTGCCCCTCCTTAGGATGTGGTCCAAAAGGACCAGGGTGATTGTAGATGGCCCACCAGGGCAGGGGAGCGGGATCCTGGGCTGGATATTTCTTGCTGGATTTATCTTGGAGTCTAGTGGGATACCTTATCTGATGCCATCTGTGCTTATAGGTTGAAGGCAGCATTAGGTTGTAGTAATACAGTCTGCCTCTCAGGAAATTGCCTTTGTGTTTGGATCCCAATGTGGAAAACACTCCCTAGAGGCATATTCCTCTGTCTAGGATAACTGGGTCCTAGCCTTACCTTGGATATTGAGCTGGATGATTTGTTGAGCTTGGTACTGAGAGGTGGTGATCTGGCAAATGTAGGTCCCCTCATCTTTTAGAGAGAGGCTGGGGAGGGTGAGAGAGGCATCCCCGGCCATAAGTAGTTCCTCAGGCTTCAGGGTAGCATCCTGCCGCTTGGCCTGCCCCTGCCCTGTCATCCAACTGTACACCAGCTGGCCACTGCCCTTATACTGCAACCGCCACTCCACGCTGATGAGATCCAGGCTTGGAGCCATGGAAAAGCCACAGTGAAGGGAGGCTGAGGATCCCAGCAGGAAATTCAGGGATTGGGTCAGTGTTGTCACCTGGAATTCCACTGTGGAGAGAAAAGGAGATGACTTGTGGATTGCTTCCTCCTGGAGGTTACCTGGTCTATGAGTTGTGGACATACATCTGCCCCATCCTGCCCTGTGCAATGAATCCACTTGAGCTCCTTTCCCATCAAAAATAACCAAAAATGGGACTCTGGAATTGGCAACATGGTATACATGGAGTTCTGAACCATTTTGGTGTCACACTTTAGATGATCTGATGAAAGCTATGGACCTCTCACAAGAAAAAAAAATGTACATGCAAAATTATAAGTTGCTGTTGACTTTCAGGTAAGAATGATCAGAGTAGAACAAACAAACAAGCAAACAAACAAAAAACCACACAAAAACTCCAACAACAATAAACCTGTGGAAATCTGGTTCTTCCATGTACTAGTTATAAGTCCCTCAGTATTAATAAGCTCATCTGTTTAAGTGAGGTTGCTATTAAGACTAGGACCTTTTACCCCTGACCTGTATCCCCAGCCCTTTTTATTTTGAAAAGGTTTTGCTAACATGCTTAGCGCCTCACTAAGTTGCCCAGGCTGGCCTGGAACTTTGTGATCCTCCTGCCTCAGCCACCTGAGTTGCTATAGGCATCTACCACTGCACCCCGCCCCAAACCTTTTTATTTTCTGAGACAGGATTTCGCTAAATTTGTAATTCTTCTGCCTCAGCCTCCAGAGTTGCTATAATTATCTTGAAGCACTAGATCAGCCTAGATTTTCACTGGAGGAAACTGAGGCTATTTTTTTTTTTTTTTAGTTGTAGATGGACATAATACATTTATTTATTTATTATGTGGTGCTGAGGATTGAACCCAGTGCCACACACATGCCAGATGATCGCTCTTCCACTGAAACCACAACCCCATCCCGGGGCTATTCTTAATATGACTTAATATGAAATGGACAGTATACATGAATAGAATAGTCTCATGTGTCCTGTTTCCCCACAGATAAAAATTGTCTCCAGTTTTGAGATAGTACATAGGTTTTATTAGTGCTTGGACACAACAAGTAGGTGCCTCCTAGCATTCTATTAGGGACCCATGAGTTTTTAGAAAGAAAGGACCGCCAAGGCCTAGGAAGTACCCTGAGATGCTGCCATGGGAGATGGAAGTGGACTTGTTCTCTTCCTTCTATCTTCCCATCACTTGCCACTTTAAAAAAGCAAAACTTCCTTTGTGCCTCTTGTATTTTCTTTTCTTTCTTTCTTTTTTTTGGGGGGGCGGTGGTTCTGGGGATTGAACCCAGGGTCTTGTGCAAGCACTTTGCCAACTGAGCTATATCCCCAGTTCCTCTTGTGTTTCATTTTCTTACCTGCAGTTCGCACAGTCCCCTGGAGGCTTTGGGGTAGATTCAGCATAGGTTGCCAGACAGCTCCATTCTCACCATCCCCAAGAGTTTTCATTACCATGGAGACACTGGGTCCCCCTCTAGATATTTGCACGTTGATGATGAACCAAGCTGCCTTCTCAACAGTGGCTTCCTGTCTGACTTGGAGAAAATAGCGGGAAATTTCACAGGTCATCTCTTTCCCATTGCAGTCAGCATGGAGCAAGGCCTCGGCCTGGGGAATCTGTACCAGGTCCACTGGGGAGAAGGGTAGCACACAGGTCAGTTTGGCTGGATAATACAAAGGCTAATGGGAAGCATGTATAGGAGTATAATCAGAAACTGGGCTGCGCCAGGGGTGCTGCCCCAGCAGGGCCAAGAACACACGGTGGAAGGAGGGCTTTTACCTGAGGCCTCAAATATAACAGGTTGGTCATCTTTGTCCACTGCACCATTTTGGAAATCAGTGAAGCCTTCCAGGGAGCCATCATCCAGCACTGGCACCTGCTTCAGCACAAGCAAGGCCTTCTCCCTATTCCCACTGCTGGCAAAAGCCCTTTGGTGCCCACCTTCCATCACCAAGAAGCAGTCTAAGATAACGTCCACTGCCCGCCATTGCCTTTCTGTTGCATGGGGTTCTGCAGAGAAAAAGCTAGGGTGAGAACCCTCTTGCCCAGAAAGTCATTCCACACTTGTTTCTCGTGCCCATCCCCCAAACTATGGACTTATCAAGGGGTAAAAGTTGTCTTCAGGTCCTAGCTGTCTGTTTGTCTCTATTACATCATATACAAAACCAGGTTTCTGGGAGGCACCTGCTACTCTAGGTAAATACTTTCTGGTGTGAATTATTTCAAGTCCTGGATCTGCCTTGCTTAGAGGGGTTTATATTTTTACTCTTATTTCTAACTATGAAATGAAAGACTGTCTTCCATCAAAGAAATTCTTAGCAGAAACAAATCAATGAGCAAATACTGCCAACAGAAAGAGCTGGGTCAGTCGCTGTTGCTAGGGGTAATACCAGCCAACCTCTAAAGTTTTCCAAGCAGCCTTCTGAGTCTGCTCTGCTTTCCGCCATTAGTGTGACTTCCCCTCCCCCACCAGTGATCACCTCCCAAGTGATTTCCTAGCCCAGGGAACCCCCTTCCTCCTCTAAAGTGTCAGCTTCCAGGCCAGTGCACTCCCTCCAAAGAACAGTGGCTCTCCTGACACTTCCACAAAAGGACCACTTTTTTCTTTACCCTTTTCCCAGCTGAGTTCTCTGCTCCTCCCCCTTCTCCCTTCCATATAATTGATGTCAGCTGCTAAGCCTTTAAACTATTGGGCTTAGAAAGTGATAGGAAACAATTCCTGGCCTCTTTACCCTTCTAGAATCTTGTGGCTCCCTGGGCCCAGCATTTCCCTGAGCTAGTGCTCCCAACTCACCAGTTCTTGCTGATCCGGACAGAGCCAAGCAGAGCAGCAGACACCACCCCGCCTCCATGTCCATGGAGGCTGCTCTCAGGCCCCTCTCCGCCTACTGCCTTTCTCACTGCCTCCCCACCCCCCACCCCTCTCCCGCTTGCAAGCCTGGGCTGAAGAAGAGGGGTTCTCCAAGTACCCCTTGCTTGGCCAATCGCCCGCTCCTGCCCGTGTGTTTCTTCTGTCTTCATTTCTCTTTCGCTTTCACTTAGAGGAAGTGTCACCGTGACTGACTTTGCCTCTAGGTGAAGCCATTTGTAGCAGCTGCCAGAGCTCTGCTGGCTGTTCTCCTTTCTCCACCCACACCCCCCAAAAAACCCAGGTGATTTCAAGATCTGGCATCACTGTACTCTTTTGCTTCCCATCTGACTTAAGAAAGTGGAGCTCTAACTGTGGAAACGGGGAGAGCGATGGAACCAGAAGCCAGCTCCACTGCAGCCTATCTGTGCCACACCCACTGTGGCCCCACCACGCTCAGACTGGCCACACACTACACAGCAGGCTGCACTGGAGAAAGCTCCCTCCCCCTGAGATCCCTGATTTGACAGATGAGCCTGGGACTGGCCTTGGTTGTGGAATTGGAATTTCAGAGAGAAAGCTGGAGAGCAGCAACGTGGGAGTCTTGTCATTTTTATTTTGCCCATTTGGGGGGTCAGGGCTATAGCGTGTGGGGCTTTTGCAGCCAGAAGTGTGTTTTACAGCTAAAGCTTGGGCCCTCCCTTAGTACCAGGGCCAAGCTTGCTTAATCAGTCTCCTGTTCATTCAGTCTCAGTCTCAATTCGTGCCAGTCTCAGCAAGGCACTTTGTCAAGTGTACATAGGAAAGGATCCCGATAAGAGGATGGTACTGAAGTAAGGGCTGCCAGGTCTGGCTCTCTGGACAGCCAGTGAGGTGGAAAGGAGGTTAGAGCTTTATTTCGACCATGACCTTCCCCTCCATCCTCCACCCCCACCCAACGCTGGCTCAAGGGTAGGAAGCAGGCTCTGGTTTTCGGTAGTCCTCTTGGATGGGTATGGTGCTGCCCTCCTCCTCCCTCGGGCAGCTATAAGAACAAGACTCAGCAGGCTCCAGTGGGCTTTCATTTTTGTCTGCAGAAGAAGAATTAGATGAGAGGCTTGGACAGCAGTGGGGCAAGGGAGTGAGGGAAAAAGAGATAAGCAAGGGAGGGTCAGCTTGGGGAGGGCTGCCAGGAAGGTGCCAGTGAAGAGGAAAGAGTTAGGAGCCAGGTTGGTGCAGATGGGGTTGGGGAGGTTTCAGTGAGGTTCAAGGCATGGACAGCTGGGCTAAGATGGGTGTGGGTATAGGGGCGGAACTGGAGGCTCATATTCTGTCTCTTACTTGATCCATATTTTCTTTGTTGGAGGAACAGGGCTCCTCCCAGGGCGAAAACAAGAAACATTCCAGAGAAGATCACAAAGACGCGGACACAGTCTGAGTTACACAGGGACCTTTGAGCTGTGAAAGGCAGGGTCATATGGTTTTGGGGGGTGAGGTGGTCTAGCCCCTCAGTCCTCAACCCAGGCCTCCTGTTACCCCTGACTTTCTCCTTTCCCTAATTTCTATCCCCTTGCCCCAGGAGATCAGTCCTCTTGTAATGGAGAGACTCTGCCTACCCCTCCTTTTCTCATCCTTAGTCCTAGGAACTTCCGGGCTGGCTTGCCTCCTGGCCTCTCCAGTAAGCATTCTCTCTGGGGGTGGGGATTAGGGCGAAAACTCACGTGGCAAGTGGGTGGGGAGAGTTGGGTCAGGCAGCTGCCTGAAATCAGCCGGAGTCTGCACATGATTGACTGTCCCGGTCTCTGGCATCTCTGGAAAAAACCAAGACAGAATGAGTAGCAGCAGGGAACCCCAGAGGGCACTTGGGTCTGAAGGCCTATGGCACAATGCCGCCACAGGATTAGATGGGAAGGCTGTATAGGCTGGCCAGGAGGAGCTTGTCTGGGGGTTGGTGCAGTAGAGGGGAGTGCTGGTTGGGATGTCTCCCCTACCCTCAAGTGACTGGACAAAGGGTGGCTTGGAACTTACTTTTGGTATAAGGTAAGTGGGTGGGTGGTGGGTATGGGCCCAGGGCTTCAGATGGATGAATGGTCAGAGAGGGGTGTGGAGAAGGATCACACTCTGTACACTCTTTGTCCCTGCACTGCCAGTCCTTGGGGCAGCCACACTCTGTATTGGCAGTGATGGTGCAGTTACTAAGGAGAAGACCTGGGGAAAGAGGAGGGTTGGGGGAACAAAGGACATACAGATGACTTGTGGGGTACACTAGCTTAATACCCCTGACTCCCATCTCAGGCCCACCTCTAGGGACATGAATCCCTTTCCATTACCACTGTTTCATCTACCCCCGACAAGGGCCTAGCCTTCCCTCAATATGGTCTAGTTTCTTTACTATTATTATTATTTTTATTAAAGAAGAAAGTTGGACATTTTGGAAAATTCATAGGCTCAGAAATAGAAACAATGAAAGCAGAAGGAACTTACATAATTTTCTCTTGTGCTCACTAATAACTTTTTATTGAAGTATAACATAGACAGGGACACACATCATAAGTATGAGTCTTTTTTTTTTTTTAAAGTTTTTTTTTTTTTAATATATTTATTTTTTAGTTTTTCGGCGGACACAACATCTTTGTTGGTATGTGGTGCTGAGGATCGAACCCGGGCCGCACACATGCCAGGCGAGCGCGCTACTGCTTGAGCCACATCCCCAGCCCAAGTATGAGTCTTAAACAGTGCAAATTAGATCTATAGGTGTGACCAGCAGCATGTCAAGAAACAGAAAATGACTAGCACTGTGCTTTTCTAATCACTAACCCCCCAATGCTAGCTGTTCTCCTGACTTCCTAATACCACAAATCGGTTGTGCCTGTTTTTGTACTGTATGGGTGGAATCATGCAATCTGGACTCATTTCTGTGTGGCTTCTTTTGCTCAGTCCTACATGAAATTCATCCATGTTGCAGATCATTCATTCTTTTTTTTTTAAATTTTTTTTTAAAGAGAGAGAGAGAGAGAATTTTATTTTTAATATTTATTTTTTAGTTCTCGGCGGACACAACATCTTTGTTGGTATGTGGTGCTGAGGATCGAACCCGGGCCGCACGCACGCCAGGCGAATGCGCTACCAGTTGAGCCACATCCCCAGATCATTCATTCTTATTGTTGTATATTACTCCATTTTATGAATGTCATCATGTATTCATCCATTGTACAATTAGCAGAAGGTAATTTGGAGGGTTTCCAGTATTTAGCAATTAGTAATAGTACTTATATATATATATTTATTAATATAAATATATATTTATATTAATTGAACCCAGAGGCACTTAACCACTGAGTCACATCCTCAGCCCTTTTTATATTTTGTTTATAGACAGGGTCTCGCTGAGTTGCTTAGGACCTTGCTAAGTTGCTGAGGCTGGCTTTGAACTTACAATCCTCCTGCCTGAGCCTGCTGAGCCACTGGGATTACAGGTGTGCACCACTGTGCCCAGTCCCTGATATGTTTTTAACTTTACTAGAGAATTACTTGATTACAGACATCCTTTGCCTTTAAAAATATAAATTTTGCTCGAGTGTAGGGGTCAAGTGCTGGTGGCTGCTACTCAGCTATACCATGGATGGGCAGTTTTGCCCTGGGCTGGGCTTGCAGGTATTTGTGGTTGAGAGGGAGGGGGTGATTTGGAGGAAGACAACAACATTTGGAAGTGTATTAGACTTGGTCAAGGGGCCTGGTGAGGACCCCAGAGCAGCACACTTGTGGGGACCTGGGTAGTCCTGGAGCCCTGACAGATGAAAGAGGAGTGCAGAAAGGGAGGATGCCAAAGACTCTGGTCAACTCTAACAGTTTTCTTTTGCTTATGCTTTTTGTCAGGGTAGAAAGAGAGAGTCATTCCTTCTTCTCATCTTTATGGTCCTATGACCTCTTTTCAGAATTCTGGCTGTGAGTTGCTACTAGAATTTGGTTTCCTTGTGGCTTACCAGGAATTGTGAGCCAGCCTGTTTAAAGATCTGCAAGGGAAGAGTAAGAGCAGCCTAGGACAGTGATGAGGGGAGGACAGTGGTGGTGGTCGTTGTGGGGATCATGAGGACATCTGCTCAAAGGGAAAGGAAAGATTTAAAGAATGGTTTGAGGTTGCTTAAAAATGGATGAGGTACCATTGTTTTTTCTTTTTACCCCTGAGGTTGAACTCAGGGGTACTTTACCACTGAGCTACATTCCGAGCCCTTTTTATTTTTTATTCTGAGACAGGGTCTTGCTAAGTTGCTTAGGGTCTTGCTAAATTGTCAAGGCCGGCCTCAAACTTGTGATCTTCCTGCTTCAGGCTCCTGAGACACTGGGATTACGGGAGGAATCCACTGCATCTGGCAGAAGTGCCATTATTTTCATTGATGAGTATCCAGAGAGTTGGGGGTTCTATTTACCATGTCTAATCTATGGGGGGAAAAAAATCCAGGCTAATTTCAGGCACTTCCTCATCTTACAGGTGCAAAACTGAGATCCAGAGAAGGCCAGACTCACTCAGCCTCCTTTCGATCACTTATTCTGGATATAGTCTCTCTGTACCTGGGTGTTGCCTGAGTACTGTGGAATCTATAAACTGTGTCTTACAGTGAAGGATCATGGATTGAGCCATCCTGCAGCAAAGTAAAGGGACCGAAGATCAGCTCAATATTTAGAAAATGCCTCTGTTGGGGCCTACAGAGCGAGTGGGGGAGGCTCTGACAAAAAAATTTCAACCCTGCTGAGGCTGCTGGCAAGGAGAGAAAAGCATCTATTAACAGTCATATTTTTAAATTGACTGAGGAATATTTTGTGTATTAAAAATGTTGCTTTTTTTTTTTTTTAATGTGATTCTGGAGATTTCACCTAGGGCCTTGTTCATGCTAGGCAAGCACTCTACCACAGAGCTATAGAATGTTGCTCTTTGACTGATTTACAATGGCAAAACTTATTTTTTTTTAAGAATATAGTATTAAAAGACCTAGTGAGACCAAATACATTTGATAGTTAAGTAGTTTAGTAGTGACAGTTAAGTAGTCCTCCAAAGTGTCTTGCTGAAGAACATTAGTTTAAAGGGGCAACTTTAAAGTCTGCTATTCTAGTGTTTATGGACACATAGTATCTGGATTTCTAACGAAGAAGGAAAAATAATAATACAGTTCATAAGCATTGTTGCATATATTATATCTTAATTTTTAAATGAGTTTTCCTAAATATTTTTTGTGCAAAAATGTTACTGTCTGGCTTATATTGTTATTTCCTCAGAAAGACACATTCCAAGTTCTAAATAACCAACCTACAAATACGCACTCTGAGAACACAGCTAATTCACTGGTTGGGAGTTTCCTGTTGAAATCTGGGGTTCTAGAGCCACTTTGTTCTTTTTTTATATGTCTTTCTTTTCTTGTTTTTTTTTTTTAAAGATAGCATCTCACTATGTTTCCCAGGCTGGCCTCAAACTCATTCCTCTATTATTTTATCGATCCTATCCATAGATCCCTTCTTGCCAGTCCTTCAAATTCTGCTTACCTTCTTCCCTGGAATACTGGATATCTCTTCACATTAATATATACCCTGCCTAGGGCTCCCCATTTTTCAGCATTGACCCCATTTCCTTTGAGCCTTGAAGTAGATGAAATTCTGACTCCCGTTCTCCTTGTTTCTCCATACCCAGCTCTGCCCTTCGGCCTTGCTCCCCCAAATGCTCGCTCCATGTCACTCCCTGCATACCCTTACCCATCTCACCAAAGTTACAGTGCCGACAGCTCTCACAATGGGGCCGGGTGTGGTGGTCTGGAGAGAAGGAGACCCCTGGTATACATGGATCACACTGAGCAGCCTTTCTGTACTGGTCACAATCCTTCACAAGGAATGTTCCTGAGAGCAGAAGGTTCAGGATCAAGGCCTAACGAAGGTCATTTCTCTTCCTCTTCAAGTTAACACCTGCAGTTTACTGCAGGATACCTCTCATTGCTTGAGCTCAGTTTTGTCCAATGCTTCCCTTCATCTTAAACCCAGTCCCATTTTCCCACTTACCTGGCCACTGCCGAGGCCTGCTCTTACCTGGCTCACACATTTGACAGCATAGTCCTCCCTGAGCCCAGTAGTGCTTCTCTGGACACCTTCCAGGGGCTGGAGTAGCTGAGATCCCTGCTAGGGTCCCCCAAATGAAGAGCCAGCAGGGGGGTGGCCATGCCATGGCTCCTGCCCAGAGATATCTTTTTGTGCTCTCCTTGCTGACCACTGAGTACAGGTGCCTCGTCTTCGTGCCTGCTGGGCAGTGGCCACAGTTTCTTTCTTGAGTTTCCCTGCTTCAGGTACCCAGCCAACCTTTGATGGCAATAAAAGCTCTACTGTGGTTGGTTTTTTCTTTTCTCATAGCAGCAACCTCAACCTCCTCCCCCCCTTTCCGCATGCTGAGGGAAACTCTCAGACTTGTTGTTCTTCAAAGATATCTCCTCTCCTTTCCTCTCCTTGGCTTGGCCTGCCTGCCTACTCTCTCCCTGTCTCCTTCTCTCCCTCTCTTTCTCCCTCCCTCTCTCCCTCCCTCATATGAAGCATTTAATCTACATCTACACCCGCTGCTTTTACAAAGGGGGTTGGATATACACAGTTTCTCATCTTTCCTATTCTGAGACTTGGACATCAAGATCTATACAGGGGACCCCACATCAGTCCCCTGCCCAGTTTATAAGCTAATCCACATGCCCATCTCTCTCATAATATATAATATATATACTTCTATTCTTTCTTTCGCAGAGATGCTCAATTTTAAAAAGGAAAAGGAGCCAGACTTGCTACAGATCTGCAGACTTTTCTCTGAACTCTTCAGATCAGATTAATTTCAGAATTCAGAATATTTAAGAGTTAGAAGAAATCTAGCATCATAAAACACCCTCCTGAAGCTGGGGTAGAACTCAAAATTAAACATACCTATGCTGCAAACTATTGAATGTTTACACTAAATGGGAGGTGTAATGACTATAACTAGCTTTGTATCAATTGAGCTTCTGTTTTATGGCTGAAAGAGTTATCTAGAGCATTGTTCAGAGTTGGAGACAAGGGACTTAATCTTGTGTCTCTTCTTATCACCCTCTGTGCTAGGAGGTCAAATATGCTCTCTTTTAATCTTTATGCTACCTGTGATACAGGCATTATATGCTGCCCATCAGACCCTTGCTCACCTTCCTCCTCACCCTAGTACCATCTTTATCCTCCTCAACCCTGAGATTAGTAGTGTCCTGAGGCACCTGGGGTTTCTTGCTCTGGGCACTTGGGATTAAAGGTGAGTTCCTGTGTGGGTGATCTCTTTCCTGTTTTCTCAGTTCTCTTGGGAAGACTTATTTGGATATATTGGACTCTTTGTATCCTGGGAACATGGGCTGGGTGGGCTCTCCCCATTCTTTCCCCAGTGACCATGATGTGGGATGGCTTATTTCTCTAGGGCACTTCTCATTTAGGGGCTTTACAGTTGTTTTGACACTGCTCATGAAATGTCACAGCCCTGTGGTTGCACCTGGTAGATCTGTTAGATCTGTTCTATCTAACTCTTCAGTTTCCTTTCTCTTCATTTTTTCCACCCTCTGCCTTTCCCCAGCCCCCTCTACAGCGCCTCAGGAGGGTCCATTCAAGAAGAAGCCACACATGGTTGTGATTTCAAGTTTTTCATGGAAAATCATCCTTCTCACTAAGGGTGCCTATAATCCCAGCGATTTGGGAGGCTGAGGCAGGAGGATCACAAGTTCTATGCCAGCCTGGGCAACTTAGCCAGATCTTGTCTCAAAAAATAGAAGAGTTGGGGATGTAGTTCAGTGGTAAGTAAACCCAGGGTTCAGTCCCCGGTATACAGAGAGGAGAGGAGAGGAAAAGAGAGGAAGAGGGAGAGGGAGTGGTGAGGGAGAAGTGAGGGAGAGGAGAAGAAAGAAAGCTATTTATCTTACTATTTGGCAGAGACCACAGAGAATAATAACTGTGGGACCTGAAGACTTTTCTCTCACTCACAATCCAACCCCATTCCCAGGTCACTATTTTTTTTTTTTGAATTTTTAATATTTATTTCTTAGTTCTCGGCGGACACAACATCTTTGTTGGTATGTGGTGCTGAGGATCGAACCCGGGCCGCACGCATGCCAGACAAGCTCGGTACCGCCTGAGCCACATTCCCAGCCCCCCCAGGTCACTATTGAATCTTAAACCTCAAGGCAGGTGTTGGGAGGTGGGCTGACCAGCTGACAATAGGACCTTTGGGAACCAGTGAGATCTGAGAGGAATCATGAGGCATTAGGGAGAAACTTGCTGAAGCAGGGCTTGGAGTACACTGAGAACTTACCACCTTGGCTAGATCATGAACTTCTCACTCACCTAAGGCCTCCATTCTCTGGGACAAAGCCCATCTTCCTCTTGTACTTACTAGTTCTCCACAGGGATCAGAGCAGGAGCAGGGGCTTTCTGGTTTTCCTGGAGTACCCTGATCAGGAGGAGGAAAGCTAATTTTTTTTTTTATATCTTTATTTTATTTACTTATTTTTATGTGGTGCTGAGGATGGAACCCAGGGCCTCACATGTGCTAGGCGAGCGCTCTACCACTGAGCCACAACCCCAGCCCGGAAAGCCAATTTTCTGGACCTTATTCTTTTCTGGGCAAATGGAATGAGCTCATCTCTGGCCCACTGTGATCTTTGCATCAACTTCTGGTGAGCCTTGCCCTGTTCTAGGCTGGCTCCCTTCATGGTACCTTTCTCTTGTGCACAGGCCCTGGAAATGCAGCCTGCTCACATTTGCCTTGAAATTATCCACTATCATGTTCTCTTTTGGGTCAAATCTGTCCCCATGTCTGGCTGGGGAAGAGATATATGATCTCTTCCCTGAAATTCTCTGCTTTTCTTATATCTGCAAATATAGGTCAACAGAAGTCCTTCTCTTTTTTTTAATATTTATTTTTTAGTTGTAGTTGGACACAACACCTTTATTTTATTTATTTATTTTTATATGGTGCTGAGGATTGAACCCAGGGCCTCGCACATACTAGGTGATCGCTCTACTGCTAAGCCACAACTTCAGCCCAAGAGTCCTTCTCTTTTGAGCACTTCGATCACTTTTGAAAGTTTCTGACCAAACCCTCCTATTGTACCAGTGTGACATAGATCTTAGCTGGAGTCACACTGCTCTGTAATATCCAAAAAACATACTCCTTGATTTCCATTCAGGGAAAGTCTTGGACAGGATAGGAAAGAGGTGGGGCCGTCTACAACACAAATTCCAGGGCTAAAGTGATGTGAGGTTGTAGGTGTGAGGTGGTATCTCACTTTAGTTTTGATTCTTACTTCCCTAATGATTGAGTTGTTGAACATCTTTTCATGAGCTTATAGGCCATTTGCATATCTATTTGTATATTTGGAGAAGTATCTAGTAAGTCTCTTTGGTTAATTTTTTAAAATTAGCTTGTTTTTTTTTTTTGGTTATTGAGTTTAGGAGTTCTCTATGTATTCTAGATATTAATCCGTTAGCAGAAAGATGACTTGCAAATATTTTCTCCCATTTCATGGCTTGCTTTTTTACTCTTTATATTTGTGGGGTGAGGGGAGTGAGAATTGTTCTAGGGATAGAATACAGGGCCTTATGCATGCTAGACAAGTGCTCTACCATTAAACTACACACCCAGCCCTCCTCTCCTCCTGCCTCCCACATTAGGGATTGAACCAAGGGACTTTCTACTACTGAGCTACATCTCCAGCCCTTTTTATTTTTTATTTTGAGATAGGAAAATTGCCAGTGCTGACTTTGAACTTATGATCCTCCTGCCTCAGCCTTGTGAGTAGCTAGAATCTATATTGTTTTTTTTTTAAGAGAGGGAGAGAGAGAGAGAATTTTAATATTTATTTATTTTTTTTTAGTTTTTGGTGGACACAACATCTTTGTTTGTATGTGGTGCTGAGGATCGAACCCAGGCTGCATGCATGCCAGGCAAGCGCGCTACCACTTGAGCCACATCCCCAGCCCCTCTATATTGTTTTTTGATGCACATAAATTTAATATTTATATAAAGTCCAGTCTGTTATTCTTTACTTGCTTGTGCCTTTGGTGTCATACCCAATAAATTATTGCCAAATCCAATGTTATGAAGCTTTTGCTTTTTTTTCTTAGGGTTTTATAGTTTTGAGTCTTATGTTTTGGTCTTTGATCCATTTTGAGTTAATTAAAATTTTTTTTTTTCTTTTTGCAGTGTTGGGGATCAAACCTAGGGCTTTGTACATGCCATGCAAGTGTTCTACCACTGGGCTACATCCCTAGCCCTTTTTCTCTGAGTTACTTTTTATATTTAATGTTAGATAAGGGTACAACTTCATTCTTTTGCATATAGATATCCAGTTTTTCCAGCATCATTTATTGAAAAGACTGTTCTTTCCTCATTGAATGAAGATTCTTGGCACAAATATATAATTTTATTTGACTATGTTTGTGAGAGTTTATTTCTAGGCTCCCCATTCTACTCTGTCCATCTATATACCTGTCTTTTTGCCAGTACCACTCTGTTTTGATTGCTGTAGCGGTGTAGTAACTTTGAAAACAGGAAGTGTGAGTCCTCCAAATTTATCTTTTTCAAGGTTATTTTTGCTATTTGAGGTCCCCTGAGGTTCCTTATACATTTTAGGATTTTTTTTCTATTTCTGCAAAAAACATCATTGGGATTTTGATAGGGGTTGTATTGAATCTGTAAATCATTTTTGAGTTATGTTGATATCTTTTTTTAAAATTATTTTTTAGGTATAAGTGAACACAGTATCTTTATTTTATTTGTTTATGGTGCTGGGGATTGAACCCAGTGCTTCACACATGGTAGGTGAACACTCTACCTCTGAGCCACAGCCCAAATCTGCATTGATATCTTTAAAAAAATTTTCTTTTTAGTTGTAGTTGGACACAATACCTTTATTTTATTTATTTTTATGTGGTGCTGAGGATCAAACCCAGTGCTTCACACACGCTAGGCAAGCACTCTACTGCTGAGCCATAACCCCAGCCCCAGCATTGAAATCTTAATATTAAATTTTATGATATACACACATGGTATGTGTTTCTTTTTATTTATATTTCCTTTAAAATTTTAGTTTTCATTGTACAAGTCTTTTACTCCCTTGGCTAAGTTAATTCCTTAAATGTTTTATTTATTTATTTATTTATTTATTTATTTATTTGTTTGTTTGTTTTTAAAGAGAGAGTGAGGGGAGAGAGAGAGAGAGAGAGAATTTTATTTATTTATTTTTTTAAGAGAGAGGAGAGAGAGAGAGAGAGAATTTTTAATATTTATTTATTTAT